GGCAAACAGTCCTGATGATTTTGATAGTACGATCTGACCATGGGGTAGGGATAGTATTAATTAATGGATTGAACAGAGAGTAAAATCATGCATGCTTATGAAAATATTTCACAGTATTATCCTATATATTTACAGGCAAGCATGTTTCCTGAAAACCTTTGCTCTCAGAACGTGTTCATTGCAGGGAAAATCTACGTATACTTTTAGAAATATGTTTTCCTGTAAATGTGCAGAATCTCTTTACACATTAAAATAGACTAAAAAATAATCACATAAAATGAATAAAAAAAAAAAAAAAATACTAACATGGGTCTCATGGGTTGCCATACTGGTGACGAAATAACAACGAAATGTAAACAAAAAATTAAAACAAATGGAAGAAATTCAAATCACATGTTCTATTTACAGCGTGGGGTGAAAATAGAAAAGTGCAGACTTTTCTATTTTCGCCCCACGCTGTTATGTACAAACATAACATACTTTTGATCAAGTTTTCGACCTCTTGTTATTATTATATTGCACTAAAATATATTTATTTCAACTGCCAACATGTTTGAAACTTGCTCTTAAAATCAACTAAATAACTAAATAACTGAATTATTTAGCTCAAACTTCCAAAAGTAATAGATCATATACAGGTGTATACAATTTAATCATTTGAACTGTATGATCTTTAATGACAATCGTATGAACAATACAACATTTACACTCTAAGTACTTCCGATATATATACAAAATTAAAACAATAGGTTCATTGATTGCTTAATTTTTCTTCTATTGAATATGTTTGTTTGAAGTTACAAATAAGTCTATTATAAATTAACATTTTATCAAATTTTATTTTTTAAATACAGAAACATGCATTCTACACTCATTAAAAAGGAGGGTTCTCTATCAAGGTTTTATTATTCACCGTTGCGTATTCCTAAGAAACTTTTTTACTAATAAAGTGGACGGTATGATTGGATATTGAGTTTAATTTTGGTTACAAATCTAATGGACTTTTGGTTTTAATTTAGATACAATTAAGTTTCTATTACCACACAAAAAGTTCTGATTTAAAGGTATAGTAGAGGATGTATGAGTATGGCCATATGTTTCTTCTGGCGAAAGAAAGCTTCTTCAAAACACAGTTTTTAGAGTTCACAAATACAAAATTAAAATTCAAATTAAAGGGCTTAATAGGTTAGACATGCACAAAAGAAAGAGTTAATTGAATGAAACAAAGTAAGAGGAGAAGAGAATGAAATTGCTACACAAAACGATATGAAGAAGGTAAAAGGACAGTTTTAAAGAAGGGGATGTTTACATTTATTAATATGAATTGTTGTATTGTTGCGGCCATGTAGGCATTTTGCAATGTACTCTCTTTCTCTCACACAATGAAAGCAGTGTGTGTGTGTGTGTCATAACAACTTGACGTCCGACTGAAAACATGTTTCCTGTGGAGTTCCTAAGGGTTCAATTCTAGGTCCACTGCTATTCACAATATACATAAATGACATAACTACAGTACTGCACCACGTAAAGTTTCATTTTTATGTTGAGGATTTGCAAATTTACTCTCATTTTAAAGTCAGCCATACGAATGCAACTATAAACTTAACGAATCAAGACATCGACAACTTTGCTCTCTGAGCAGTAAAGAATGGACTAAGACTCAATCCTGACAAAACAAAGCCAATGATCATGGGTCACCCACGGTTACACACTTGATGTAGACAATTTACCAATAATACCCCGCCGCAGCAAACCTGCCGTCCAATTTTCATTTCATTTCATTTCACAATGATCAGCCGGCCTGCTAATGAATACTGAGCAATTTACAATAATATAAAGGCTTGACCGGTAAACAATTTAATATATTACATAAATATCCGCAACCGCTAGGTTAGTGAGGTATTTGAAGCACTTATGATTAATTGTTATTGTTTTTGCTACTGTTATTTTTATTGCTATACAATATTGTGTATATTACGCGTTAAAATTGTGAGTTTCCCATTTCATTGGAACCCGTGCGGATACAAATTTAATAAGGCTCGTTTAATGAGCAGGTTTTCACAACAGAAATGTTTTACTTAAGCTCAGTCACGTTTCTACAGCCACGATAAGTTTTCTTCGTTATTCATTTGAGAGAGAATTGACCTATTTATATTTAAAGAACGCTACTTTTATTCTGGGTGTTGCTCGTCGTGTATGGCTGATTTGTCAGCTGGCAGCACTAAGCAACAACTTTGACGGCAACGGTGCGTTGACGTTTCTAACTTCTAAGACTTTTTTATCGTAAAAAATTAAATAAATAACCCCATCGCAGCAAACTTGCGGACTTAGCGAGTTTCCATTTGCCTGATTTAATTTACACTCAAATATTTCCTTTAATGTAAAATTTAATGTAAATTTCCTTTAATTTACCCTATTCCCTTTTAAATAAAAATATTTTTGATGATTAATTAGGTTTGCTGCTACAAAGAGGGTAATAAAGTGTGCATAGTTAATTGTCAATAGATTAGTATAAAACTAATAAATTGGGCAAACCTGATCAATATATATAAATAAACAAGCAAACTACATCAAGCAAATTTTAAATTAAAAGTTTTTTTTTTTAATTTCACTCCGCAAACATATAGCGTAAAATAAGTCAATAGACTAAATATGTAAATTTCTGAATATATGACTTTGCGTTATTAATCAATGGACCAAATATCAATGTACTACGATAAGTTGTTGACAAATAATCAATAGTTTTGTGAAAAAACAAAACCTTCGCTGTACAGATAACATTTGAGTTTTGGGCATTTTTAACATTATGTTCTTTAGTCTTTGGTGTAGGAATGATACCGTTAACGGTCGGTAAAGAGTTCGAGGACACCCTGTATTGGGAAGGGTTGGTCAGAACCATCCCCACATCATCACTCAAAAGGCAATGAATTGAATAGGTAGTAATGAGATACCATTTTAAAATACCCGTGTATTACCTAATACGAGTATTCTAGAATGAAAACATACAAAGGATCAAAATTATGGGCTACGCCCTTGGAAGTAGCCATTAGTTACCCTGCTTACGCACAATGCGATGTACAAATACACTTTGAGTATTAAAACCCTTGAGTGTATACTTCTATTATTCACAGTGTGTATTCTCATTTACATTCCTTTGAGAATAATTGTTATACCAATATTGGAACGCTAAAAGCTGGCGTGATTGAGTTATATTTACAAGTAGAGCGCATGTATTTCTATCCAACATCAGTGTAATTATCAAAGTAATTCAGTCAATCTTCCAGTCTAATTCACTCAGTTTACTAATTCATAAGAAACAAGTTACGACACTTCAAGATTATGTATCCTAGCAACACAGGCAGAGATTTGGAAATATCCTAGTAAGGTTTTGAAGTACTTTAAATCCGATATAAAACTATATTCCCCCTTACAGAAGATTGTTAACTAATATATTTTAGAAATCTAATAAATCATACTTATAAATAACATGAATGTGAAAGTTTGTTGTGCATTTGTTTGTTTGTTTGAAGCTCAAACACACATTAACTACTTGTCGGATTGGGCTGAAATTTGTCATGATGATAGTCAAACTCTCCATTAAAAAAGAGCCCCATCCTTACAATTATTTTGGGTTGTGGTTAATAAGTTTCCTACATCTAATCGTTGTTCATATTTAAAAAGAATGAAATAATCTGGACCTATGTTTCAACCAAACAAATAAATTGTTTTCGACGATGTTCAATATAAAACGTTACAATTGGTAAGCACAGAGTGCAGCACTATTTTTCTTCTTTATAAACAGCTGTAGAAAGAAGAAGAAAGAAAGCAGTTTTAGGGAAACTGCTGAAATGGTATCATGATACACAAAAATACTACATTACATTTTTACATTACAATGGATAACTTTTAGAAACGCCTTCCTTAACAGAACTAAAGGAATACGTCGCAAACAATGAAGTTAATACAATTAGGAAACTACCTAGCATCTAATTGTGTCACCTGTTTTGGTTTTCATCGTAATACACTTTGTATATTTTATGTCGTATGACACTTATGGTTATACACACGCTGGTGAAGCTTTGAGTAAAAGCAAGTATAACATATTTAATACCGATACTGCATATTGGTATAACATACAAACGAATACCCTTTTTGTTAATTTTTAAAAATTAAATTAAAATAATGATTCGTTTAAATGTCAACAACTCTAAATAATCTATAGGAACTGAAATTTTTTTTAAACAGGCAGGAGGCTCACTATAGTTTAAGAATTTATGATAAAATAAACTTAATAGGAATTCAAATTCCTTCAAAGATCATTAAATTTTAAATAACTTTGTTAAAAGTGTAAATAAAGTTTTATTTCAAAATGTAATGTGATGCATCGGTTAAGGTTCTTGGCAACAGTATTACGACTATACAGCAACAGACGATCCATTGTAAATATTTATTTTGCTTGTCACTCTTTAAAAATAATTTTCCGATAGTTAAATTAATAAATTAATTATTGTTACAATCAAGCTTTTTGATTAATTACGTATTTAAAATGTACTAAATTTATAATCACCTAAAAAACTCCATTGTTGAAAGTACTTTATTAGAAAATCTAATACGTTTTTGACTGCATGTTAAAAAATATTTAACGATTCTCATTTAGGCCCTACTATATTTCAATTCATAAAATACAATCTTGTTTAAAAAAAAATGTTTAATTACTTTGTGGTTAAACCTTTCTTTTCTCAATTTTTTTTGTAAATTTTCAACATTATTCTCGTTTTGATAAACCTGAATGTATTTCGTACTTGTGTTTAATATTTAAGCTATATTTTATGGTGTACTCAATCTATTTAATTATTTCCCTAAATATTTTTTTTTTAAATAGCTCTTTAAAAAAAAACTTTTTTACAGTCAACTTTTAAATCATAAAGCCACATATCCACAATGAGATTAACCAATATATTGTATACAACCCTGACAAACATTTTCCTAACTCAACTTACATGGTACATTTGTTCCGACAGACGCACTATAGCCCCGCGTGGGACGACATGGACCGCGGACGCAGAGAGACTGACGCGACCTGGACGCATCTACTGAGCGTCGTCACGCATGCGTCGCAGCCCAATTGATCATCGCCGCTACAGGTCCAACATACAGTATGTTAAATTTGACCAAATAAACATATGATAATAAATGGTCCTAATTAAGTGTCAAATGAGTCGGCTCATGCTCAAACAACGCCGAGATGAGCACTTGATGCGACTGAGCAACTGTCAAAAGAAACGTTTAAGTAATGAACTAATGCATGAGCTACACAGGAAAAGATTGTTGACATCCCTAGCTATTGACGATTTTAGAATAGTAGACGTATTACAATCTTAAATTTGTAGCCAGTTTCATGAAAATTGACGCAATTGCAGTGTGTTGCCGTAACAGAGTTTTGTTGTACTGTATGAGGTTTAACCAAGCTGAACCGAAAAGGAAATTCGACAATGGCAGTAGATGCTCGCATATTTCATGTTACATCCCTCATTAAAGGATCACATTTTTTGTGAATTTTTCAGTTATGTTCTATTGAATTTTGAAGTCAACTGTATAATGTATAACGTCCACTGTAGTATTTAAAAGTTAATTTTATAGGCATAACACACTATTTTTTCAGATTTCATTCTAAAGTATTGTTTACGCTGTAATATATTTTTAACGTAAAATAAAATGTCTAGGACCAATTAAAATTTTTAATAACATTATTAATTTAACCTAATTTGGTCAAAGAGTAAGTCCTTTACCTGGTAAAAATTAAAAAAAAATTATGTATATTTTGCTTGGATAGTTATAAAAAGAGTGGTTTGAAAGGAAATAAGAAATAAAACATTGGCTCGCATCTCATTTTTAAATTTGAAAGGGCTCACTTATCATTAACTGAAACCTCCTAAAGATCAGGTTAATTATGGGTAAAATTTATTTATAATATGTAATTCATAATAGGCATACGTAAAGAGCGGGCATTAATTGCGCCAACTGACCTGAGTCAGGTAGTCGGGTTTTCCTGACTTGCGCCAACTTCTCCAGGGAGCCACCCGATAATTTCATTAACTCAACCAAGTGGCGGCCCTCTTCGACTGTATAATTCAGTAGGTTAGGTTACGTTTGGTTAGGTTAGGTTAGGTTTGGTTAGGATAGGTTAGGATGACACGTGAACAAGGACATTCCTTCTGCCGGCAACTTACCCCTACCTGGCTTGGGCTTGGCGCAACTAAGGAACATTTTTTGGGACCTTTGAGGGCTTGGTGCAATTAAGGAACTCTTTAGCGCAACCATTATAAATTTAAATGCACTACAAGCAGCTGTCAAGCTGTCTGAAATGAGCACAAATCATAACCTTAGTTTGACGTTGCCACTTTCATGACAGTTGGTATGAGCGAACTTAAAGCTTGTGAACTTTAAGCTTCTGATTTTACATTATAAAAGTATAATAGAAGTATCCGAAATCATTGGTATTACGAATAAAAGCGTAACATATGCTATGCGTTTTTAAAAAAGCAACTGCACTATGTAGAGATAAAAAAAATCGGAAAAATGTTCTCACTAGTAGGATATTTTCATTATGTTATTTAACAACCAAAAGTCTTCTGTTGAAACATTGACGCATAACCATTTGCTAAACAATTTGTTTTGCAAACGAACAGAAAATTCGATAAATCGAATCATCGATACTGAGATTGCATTTTTAAACTTGTAACCATAAAACTAAACATTTATAGATGTAAAAATTGCACGTATCCGCTAGTGATGAACCGGAAATGAACACCTGCACTATTTTCTACTCGGTTGGTTAAATCCAATATAAAACCGCTCTCATAATTCCGCCGTTACTACGAATCAATTAAGATAATTTGTACTTTAACCATTAAAAGAGCAAAGGATGTTATTCAAAATCGAAATCGTTTTCATTCTCCCTTTATTGTCAATTTTTCAGTCTAATGATATCAATTTTGGAAGAATGAACAAAGTACAAAGTGAATATATGAACGACATAAGGCTTTAGGTTACTCACTAGTGTGGATAAACAGGTGAAGTGTGTTAACTTTATAATATGAAGTCATTTGTAATTTATTTAATTGTAACAAATGTATTACACAGAAATACAACGGATGGTATTTTTAATTTGAGTATTAATAAGTTTCCATTGTTTAAAGAGATTCCGAAAAGGTCGTTGCCTTAAGTAACTTTTATGATTCAAATCCATAAAGTTAACAAAAGTATTAACTAACCTTCTAAGTTTTAAAATACTGACAAAAATTATATAATATGTTTTCACTACACTGTTACTATTTACAGTGGGTCACGGATAAAAATTCAAATACCCTCTAAATACACCAAATTATGAAAATATATTTCAAGATTTATTGTATATTTATTTTTATAGATTGTGAACAAGAATTTTCTATATTACTCATCTCAAAAAGAAGCAAAAATAATACAATTATTAAATCATCAACAAATATACTTGGCAAAAAACAACCGAAACAGAATAAGAATCTACGACACTAAGCAACTTCTAAATGCAGGGTACAAAGGAAAAGATCGAACACTTGTACGTGTTAACAATCACACATACGTTTGTCATCCTTATATACAGGGTGGTAAAAAAGTCCCTGGACAGTTAAATATTTTAAAAAATAATGCAGATAGAGCTACAATAGTTGGTACAAAGTTACAGGGCATAAAACTCTATTTTAACAAATATTCAGTGATCCAATAACTCTTCAGGGGGCGGCCCACAAGGAGTCAGAAGAAAATCTTAAATAGAAGCATAGGTCAATATGCACATCAAATTAAAGGTATTTTTTAGTAGAATACAATGCCGCAAACCGCACTTCATAAGGTTGATCCTGCGCAAAATGACAGTTGTATAAAGATTCATTTAATTTACATTGCTATTATACGCTTTCTCCTCAGGGGGCACAGCCCTAGGAATCGGAAGAAAATTGTTAACGTAAGAATAGGTCGATATGCACATCAAATTAAAGGTCTTCACTTGTAGATTACGATGCCGTAAATTCAAGCTCAAAAGAATGCCTGAGTAAAAAATGGCAGTCGTTCAAAGATTCAAAATGGCGGATTCAAGAAATCTTTGAACATCTGCCATTTTGCGCAGGATCAACCTTTTGAAGTGCGGTTTGCGGCATTGTATTCTACCAAAAAAGACCTTTAATTTGATGTGCATATTGACCTATGCTTCCATTTAAGATTTTCTTCCGACTCCTTGTGGGCCGTCCTCCTGAAGAGTTATTGGATCACTGAATATGTGTTAAAATAGAGTTTTATGCCCTGTAACTTTGTACCAAGTATTGTAGCTCTATCTGCATTATTTTTTTTTAATATTTAACTGTCCAGGGACTTTTTTACTACCCTGTATAATACGCGAAGGCGATTTCTACGAAACACTACTCCTTTGTTAATAATGAACGGATTTCTACAAACGATGCGTCAAAATAAAGTATTATATGTGGAGACGCCCCCTTTCACAAATTCCTGTAACAACGGCCTCGGACTTTGCCCCACAGGCCATCAAAATCCCCATGTATTTCTTATGAAGAAAATATTTAGTTTACTTAAGCAGACGATAATTTGTATTAATTACAGCTGTTTATAGTAAACACATTATACACACAAGAGCGTTCGTTTTTAGTTTCGATTACTGGAGTGGAGGGATTGATTACATTATCTTTGAGTTGACTCTTTTAAGTAATTACGTCTATAATTAATAGCAAATTATTATACATTATATTGTGGAGTGGTAGGGATAAGAGACAAAATGAATATGAGTAAGTACTTAAAAAAGATGTATTTGACTAAGTATTTTCATTTGTCAGACACATGCTAAACAATGAAATTAAATTCATGTTAGTCAATTTGATGTACTAGCTTGATTAAAATTTATTTTATTTTATGTTTATACATTTAAATTTAAAATTCTATTAGTATTTAGAACCAATAACATTTGGTTGAATTGCTTTATAAATATCTAACAATACATTAGGTTTTGAGAAGGGTCCATTTACCTGTGGTCAGATTTCTGTGTGTTGCTGGAGCAAAGTTTACAGATGAATTGAGCACAATGTTCTTATTTTATCATTTAGAAAGAGGGAACCAGTGTTTAAAAATATTATTTATTTATATTCCCTCTTTTGAGTTATCTATTTGTTTTGTTATATATTCAAGTAGTGTTGTCGATAAGACGCGTTTACAGTCACTTCATTGATCGAAAGGGACCCATGCATAATTCGCAAAATTAATTGTTTCAGTAAGCATAAATAATTTAAAATCACGTTTCTAAATTATTCGATGTTTTTTTCACCACAATGAAACATTTGTAATTTTTCACTTCAGTTATGAGTCAGGCCTGTTCAGAACATAATTTGCAAGGCGATTCCACGAACCAGTCCAAAACAGTCAAGTTTTGTTTGAAATATTACTTGATATTGATATTGATTGATATCACACGCATGATCAACTCTTCATTAGAATTTGAGAGCTTATTTATTATTAAGTTTTTTCTACGTTGTTTTTTTTTACTGCCACGTGTTTATAAAAAGGCTTGTTTTGTTGCTAATTATTTTCTTGTTGATCAAATACATATTTGAAGGCAAGCCAAAATAGGAATTCATAATTTTATTAAATACCCCCGCCGCAGCAAACCTGCAGACTTAGCGAATTGCCATACGCCTGATTGGATTTACATTAAAATGTCTCCTAAAAAAAATCACGTTTTTTCCCTATTTAAATATAATTAGTTTAACGAGTACTTAGGTTTACTGCAACAGGGAGGGTAAAAAATTGTTTTTTTTTTAAACGTTAATAGTTAAGGATTTTCCAAATTCGATTAAAATATGTTCATAAACAACAAACTACAACAATTGGCTTATTGACTTATTCTCCATAAGAATAACATAGGAATTTATAATTTACTTTTTATTGGAATTTTCTCCGTGACCATTAGGCGCACAATAACG